CACACACACATACATTCACATCCACACTCACACACACAAGCTTTAAAGCCACGACAAAGTAAACAAACACTCACAAAATAACTTCTTAGCCACAAACAAATGAGCTCGCCGCATTCTGCTTTACAAGCTGAGCTGACCTGACGCGATCTCTCGGCGTGATACATGGACCATCAGCTGCGTCCCATTGTACTTTACCCAAACACTTATTACCTACTTGCCACAGTCTAACTGCTCCAAGCCATGCGCTCTCTTCACGTTTACTCATTGCTTGGGAATTTGCACCCGGAAATCCTGGCCTTCACATTCCTTTTTTATATCTCCTGCCTCGTTCTTTTGTTCTTTCTTTCTGTCTATTTCTTTCTTTTGTTTTTTGTATTTCTTGTTCCTCTATCTCATTTACAATTAATTTGAAGCCATTTCTCTCCCTCTCACACGTTAATGCCCTTTCTCTATATCTATCTATTTATCTATCTATCTATCTATCTATCTATCTATCTATCTATCTATCTATCTATCTATCTATTATCTATCTACCTGACTGACTGTCTGTCTGTCTATCCCCTCTCTCTTTCTTTTCTTCTCTCTCTGTCTCTCTGTCCCCCCTCTCTCTCTCTCTCTCTCTCTCTCTCTCTCTCTCTCTCTCACACACACACACACACACACACACACACACTCACACACACACACACAGACACACACACACTCACACACACACACACACACACACACACACACACACACTCACACACACACACACACACACACACACACACACACACACACACACACACACAATCACAAAATCACACAAAATACACGGACACACAAAAACATACACGGACACAAAAATAAACAAACAAAACAAACAAACAAACAAACAAGGAAACAGATCCACAAGCCAATCTTACCTATGGTATAAAAACTTCATGAAAGGTGACCTCAATAACTGCCCTATCTTGGACCTCGGAAAGATGAGGTAATAGAGGGACATAAAGGGCAAGATCAGGATCAGACCTATGCAGGTGAGAAATTTCATGATGCCGTTCCTCTTTCTCCATCCCGGCAGACCTTCATACCAGACAGAGGTGAGGAGCTGCTGGCAGTGGGGGTGGGCCACGAACTAAAGGGAAGAAAATAAAAATACATGTACATTCACCACGTGGTGGAATCAGGTGCTTGTCAATGTTTGTGCGTGTGAAGTTATTGGTATTAACTGCAAGCTTGCTTGTTTGCCTTGGTTTCCCTAAAAAAAAGAAACGTATCGGTCTTAAACAGAATTGAGATCTTTTCGATTAAAGGAGATGAGGTAAATAAGCGAGAAATGGGCGCCAAAGTTTGATAATTTCAATAGCTTGCGAGTCCGTGAAAACGATGAAATTTCGTATTTTGTGGGTTTAATCAACGTTTTTCAGTAAAGATTCACATGAACATGTGTTTTTATATTGACACGAAAGGTATTGAGCCAAACTCTCTCTCTCTCTCTCTCTCTCTCTCTCTCTCTCTCTCTCTCTCTCTCTCTAAATCTATCTATCTATCTATCCATCTAATTATAATAATAATAAATAGCATTTGTATACAGCATATCCTCGCTCAACAGCAGGCTCTATGCGCTTTCCACTATATTATTACCCCAGCAGACAATAGAGCACTCCGAAACATTCTCAGCTTCCCTGGAAGCATATCTATCTATCTATCTATCTATCTATCTATCTATCTATCTATCTATCTATCTATCTATCTATCTATCTATCTATCTATCTATCTATCCATCCATCTATCTATCTATCTATCTATATATCTATCTATCTATCTTCTTTCATCTCTTCTAGTCCCTGGTCTTCCCTCCTATTTTCTTCCCCAAATGTCTCGCTCCCTTTCTTTTTCCCCTTTTCTCTCAGTCGATCCCCTCCCTCACATTTTCTGCCTCTCTCTTCCGCCCCGTTTCCAGTCGCTCTCCGTGTATCTCTGTCCGTGTGTCAGCCTGTCTCTTTCTCTCTCCGTCTTTTTTCCCTGTCTGTCTGTCTGTCTGTCTGTCTGTCTGTCTGTCTGTCTGTCTGTCTGTCTGTCTCGCTCTCTCTTTCTCTCCCCCCTCTCTCTCTTGCTCTCTCTTTCTCTCTCTCTCTCTCTCTCTCTCTCTCTCTCTCTCTCTCTTTCTCTCTCTCCCTCTCTCCCTCTCCAGCCGAGGGAGAACCCCATTCTTCCAGTAGTCTTTAAGATTCTCCCAGTAAGACACTTTCATTTTTTTTAAACCATAGATTTTTCTCGTTACATACAGCATTCATTCAAAAGAATAAAATGCTACTGGTTGTACCATTTCAGACAACTAATAGACTAATTTTGACCAACAAGTGGGGTTGTAGCTGACCCAAACCCCTGTCTTCAATCCATTTGTCGAACTTTTCCCCCCTCTGTTTAGACAGTCAACATCAAACGAATAATTATGATTGAGCTGGGAATGAGAAGAGCGCCATTCCTTCACTATCATGACAAGCCGGGGTCCCTTTTTTGAGTCTCTGAAGAAGGATGTTTTCGTTTCTTGTGAGCAGACACCCCATCTTTTTTTTTCTTTGACGTCATCACTATTTATCTTGTGGATGGATGTTTGATTTCCGATTTCGATTAACGTCGCGAGATATTTCTTTTAAATCATAGCCCGTGCTAACTAGAACGAAGGGCTCTAAGGTTGCTTCGTGTTTGTAACTTGACTCCCAACCTCGCTATCGATAACTGCTACGTGCTTCAGACTTTATAATACGACGTGCTTCAGACTTTATAATATGATTTCAAACTGTCTCTGTCTGTCTGTCTGTCTGTCTGTCTGTCTGTCTGTCTGTCTGTCTGTCTGTCTTTCTCTCTCTCTTTCTCTCTCTCCGTCTCTCTCTCTGTCTATCTGTCACTCTCTCTCTCTTTCTCTCTCTCTTTCTCTCTCTCAAACACACACACACACACACACACACACACACACACACACTCACGAATGAAACGATCACTCCCTGATGTATCATTTCCATTTTTCTCTGCTCTCTTTTTTCCTTTGTTTTCGTGCTTCTGCGTACGTTCATAGAGTTATGTGTTAGTTCCTCTTTTTTCCATTTCGCAGCTTCAAAATTACAAAGTTCTATCTGCCATTCTTGACCGTTTTGAGTTCCTCTATAAGACCATGAGGTCAGAAAGCAAATGTTCTATCAGCTCTATCAAAATCGTAAGATTATTCAGAGTCGTTATCAAGATATTCCAAGAATGGTATTTAAAATGTTTGACCCGTGACTCAATTTTACGTCAAATTTCTCAAAACCAGGCACTGAGCAGATTTCTACGTCTCTCAACGCTGCACTTATTTTTCTGTACTGCTCAGTCACTGTGTGAGTCCACCTTGTTGGTGAGACCAGTGTGCACATGGTCGTTTGCACCTGTATGATAATATACAGTCCGTTTAAAAATCTTTTAGCTTAATTTTAGTAAGTGTTTTACGGCTCTTGCAACACAGTAAGGTCAAATTATGAGTTCCGAGGATCAGAGATGTTGCAAGAGAGTAACAAACACAAAAAGAAGGAGGAGAGATTAGGACAATAGATGCTTGATAGGAAAGAAGCAAACAACACCAGAGCACCCACCAACCGCCCACTAAAATCTTTGGACAAATTATAACATGCACTTCAGCATTTTAGGCACCTTACTGAGCCCAACCTATTCGGACGATGTCAAAATATACACGTATTTTAACAACTTGCATCGTTCAATAAAATGGTGGCTTGGGGTAGGAGGGGGGGGGGGCTTAAAAGAGTCAGCAATAACGTCCAACGAAATAAGGGGCTTAATATTATGCTTAATGAACAGCCTCCGGTCTTGAGTGATCCTACACTAGACTGCACTACCATCTGGCACATCATAAACGGCACTGTTGAACACAGCTACTCGAATCGAGACTCAAAAAAAAATAATGATTACTCATCGCTGAAATAGTGTTTCCTTATTCCGTACAACCCTGAATGACCACATTTGTTCATGTTTGAGATATGGTTGTGATAACATCAGCAATGCAGTATAAATGAGAAAGAGTAATTATCTGGTCAGCAGGTGTCAATCAGCCATCTCAGAAATGTTTTCATAATGCCATGGGCAAACATTTCGTAAGAATCAGTCAAAATCTGGTTCAATTCAAACAAGTGGTTGAGGAGAAATCTGGCTAGTGAACGCGTCTACAATCATAAGGACGGACTACAGGAAAATGGTATGGAATGGAACACACAAACACAAACTCATACACACACGGATATTAGATTCTTCTGTTATTTGCTTCCACTTGTAATGAATTACAGAGTATTTGAGTCATCATGGTCAAAATCAATCAAATCGAAGAAATCAGCAATTTCCCGTCTGTTCTCAAATTTTTTATCGAATTTCTGCTTTTTGTTGGAGGTTTTCTTTCGTTGCTTTATTTTTGTTTTGTTTTTGTTGTTTTGTTGGGGTTGTTTGTTTGTTTGTTTGTTTGGGTTTTTTTTCCTCAAAACCTTCTGTGTCCATATAAAAGACATTCCAGTGTGAAATTTTCTGGAAAAAAGTTAATTAGAGCCGCAAAAAGTATATTTGCAGTTTTCAAGTACTCTAAAGGTTTGGAATTCACTTTAGCCTAACTTCGGAGGCCATTTTCTTGACAAGTTTTGCTTTGAACTATTATGGTGCCTTCAATCCCAAATATCTCAACTTATATGCAAGAAAGATGACTATTTTTTTCTTCGAAAACTAAACAAATAACAGGCTTTAGGATTATGGTAATAACTTCATGATATGCCAAGATATTGACAAGCACCTGATTCCACCGCGTCGTCACGCATATTATATCTAAAATCATTTAAGTTAATAAAGCAACACTTTGTACTTGATGATTTCGAAACTGACAAATGTATCCCATAAGAGTTACAAAGCGTGGGTCTAAGAAGCATCCGCTACACTTCAACATTCACTTGTCACATCAAGAATAGGTCAAGAGCCCACGGCTCTACGCAGAGGATGGTGCCGCAAGAAATTAACCGCCAAAATTTCCCATTTCCTTATTCGAAGTTCAAAGCACTACGAATAGTGATGTAACATGGTCGTATAGTGCCTTTTAATGCAATGCAGGGTTATATCTTTATAAGGGCGTACAATCATGTTTTGGAAAAACATACAACCCACCCCCCCCCCCCAACCAAAAAAAAAAAAAGAAAAGAAATTGATACCAGTCGCCACGCTCGCAGAAACAGTTAGCACATTGGGTGTGTGGGTGTGGTGGGGAAATAGAAGGGACTTTAATAATTTTTAAAAATGAGATGAGGCAGTGGGAGAAGTGGACACACACACACACACACACACACACACACACACACACACACACACACACACACACACACACACACACACACACACACACACACACCTGAAAAACACAGGCTTGGGAGATTAGTAGTGGATGAATAGCGGTTTGTAAAGTAAATACTGAGCAGCGAATGTTGCTGATGAACTTAGGTATTCAAAAAAAGAAAGAAAAAACATTCGCGCACAGTATTTGAAAAGCACGCATAGTGATGAATAGTGAATTCACTCCCCGAAGTGTCAATGAAGTTTCGTTTCCTCAAAATCGCTCTACTAGATACTACTTAGAATCGGATTCAGTTTTCACTCTCAAAAAGACTGGCTATATTTTGTGAAAATTGAACCCGAAGCAGTCAAACTGGCATTGATTCAGACAAATCTGAATATATCTTGTCATTGGACAAATTTTGCAAAACTAAGTCGTTATTGGCAAGTATTGAGAACATCTGAAATATGTAAGACTTATTTTTGTTTGATCAATTACCGACTTGGTTACCATCCCAAATTCAGAATTTTGAAGCCATTATAGAGATATAAATAAAGTAATCGTCTCCTTTTTATAATCTTCAAAGCCAAACAAATGGTGAAACGATATGTTTATAAAGCTACGGGTGACGTTAATGAAGATGGGTGAAATAATAATGAGGGTGAAAAGAACTTACTCATAATAAGAGTAAAAGAAACGCAAACCCAGGATTACTGACAACATTTTTGCTTATTATATGCTTCTCTGATTCTTCTGTTCCTTCTCTGTATTTATTTAGTCACTTTCGTCATGCTAGCTGAGTCTCTGATTGACCTGAAAACAGCAAATCCAGTTCCCCCTCCCCCTCCAAACATAAACACATTATGTATGTGTGTGTGCACACTAAAACACACACACACACACATACGCACACACACACACACACACACACACACACACACACACACACACACACACACACACACACACACACACACTTAAAGACAGACAGACAGACACACACACTTACAGACAGACACACACACACAAACACACATAAACACATTCACAATGGCTATTTTCTCACTTTCTTTCATATCCAGATCTAATTATTTCTCTTTGGACAAACACAATCTACGTTCCTTTCAATGTTCTTTTTTTCCGATTTTGTCTTTTGCTTCGTTGTTTTTTTTTCGTTCTGTATTTTTGACACAAAGCCCCAATGCCCCCGTTGGATCACTTTGATTTAGTCTAATATAGACCCACTCTCGTCCGATTCAGCAGAGTCTGTACTCCGCAGCTATCAACATACTGGTGCTCATTTGATTTCATCTGACCTAGCTCGAAAAAAACAAGTTCGTGCATTTTGGGGAAATCGGTCGATTTCTGTACGTGTCCTCCCACATGTGGCAGTTGCGGAAAATAACTCCATTCACATTTTGGCACGAGAGAGTTTGAGATATTCATAATTTAGTAGTTCAATTATTATAACGATGTATTTGTTAGATTCATCAGGACATAGAATCAGCATCCCTTTCAAGATGAAGTGATAGAAAAATAATCAATGCATTTTCTCGTGGTATAGTAGATAAGATATTTATCTTGAACGCCAAAGAAAAGAGATCGATTCCGCAATGGGGCAGATTTTTTCCCATGTTTCTCTGTCTTTTTTGCTCCATTGTGTCCTCCCAAACCTCAGACGACAGTCAAGGTGGAAACAAACCGTCTTGACCGGTGTCTGTGGGGTAGCGGCAAGGTGCTTTGCTGTCGCACGTGTTCGATTCCCGAGAGGGGAGAAGTTTCTCATTGAGTATCTCGGTCTTTCTGCTGGGATGCTGTTTCCCTCTCAGCCCGCCTCCTAAATTGTCTAACTTATGTCGATGGAGGGCAATAATACTATGATGATCATGAAAAAATACCTCAATCAATTGACTAATAACTGATCACACAGTGGAACACATTTTCACAAGAGAGACCAGAATTAATTTAGCTCATTCTAATTGATACAGTGCACTCTGGTAACTCAGATGTTCCGAATCGATCCGATCATGCAGATCCGACCAGACAAATAGGTGTGCACCCACCTTAAATCAAACCACTTTTCCGGATATTCGCAACGTAACAAAACGCCGCATCTTTTTGCGCTGATCGTTTCCCTGACACCTGAACGAACACTGTGTCAAATATTGATTCCGTAATCGGCTCAGTTGACTCGTAATAGGATTCCCCGCTGATGAAATTAAAGCTCTTTGATCACGAACGCTTTCATTTACAGCAGGGCTAACTTCTTGGTGGGTTAACGGGTTTGATAAATGTGATGTACAACCCCCACACCCTCACACATACCCTTCCCCTCCCACACATACCCCTTTCCGCACTAGGAGGTAGTTCGGTAGTGTAAAAGTAAGTGGCTCCGTGGCTCTTGATATTCTTTGCGTTCTGAATGAATGGTGGATGTAGTGATGATGATGATGACGATGATGATGATGATGAGGATGATGATGATTATGATGATGATGATGATTTTTTTGTTTCCCTAATGGGCCTGATGGACTTCACGAAGATATCTTCGAGCGAGAGCGAGGCTCTTTTCGGCTCCATTGTCAATATGCTTAGCGGCACCTCCACTCGTCCAAATAACTCCATTCGAATTGCCATTGTTCCTGGACATTCAAACAAATGTTTGATATCTTCCTTTTTATGGCCGCATCTTCGGCAACCTGGGCTGAGCTCTTCATTTATAAAGTTTTTATACCATCTTAAACTCCAATGATGGTCCGACCGCAGTCTCGCTAGCTCAACCTGGTCCCAGCGACACGTGATAGATTTTTTCCCCCGCTAATAGGAGTACCCAGAATACACATCTTCCAGGTGCTGGTACTTAGTTCTACATGGTGGGTCTCTGATTTCCCTCTTGATCATTGGAAAGATTCTTCTGTATGCCGTCTCCTTCGATCTCTCTGGCTTCATTAGCAACTTGGTCTGCTGCCTCATTTCCTTCTGTTCCAACATGGCTTGGAATCCACTGGATTGTTATTGTGGCTCTGGCTTCACTGAACTTGCGGCGCAAATCATTCATGTCCGAGCTGTTGCCCAGCAGCCCCTTGAAGAGGGACTGACTGTCAGTCAAGATCAGCACATTGGTCCTACTGTGGCAATTGTCAGCAATCCATTGGGCAGCAGACATCATCGCCTGGCATTCCTCGTCATAAGATGATGTAAGGAATGCACCTTTAGTTTTAATCATTTCTGTTCGTAGTTGTTCATCTTTCATTATCACCACTGCTGTTGCTCCACCTTCGCGGTATCCTGCGACAGCCGATCTATCGGTGAAAATTGTCACATCCGCACCAACCTCTTTGATCACATCCTCAGCTGCTTCACGTGCCTTTACAGGATCATCACCTTTTCCTTTTACTCCTCTCAGTTCTGTCCGAATTTCGATTTCGCCATGGGTCTCCCATGGACAAGCTCTCACCAGATTGATCGGCCATCGATTCTCTGCTTCAGGGGGGAGGTCGTCTGCTAGATCGGTGCCCATCCGAAACCAACTTTTCCTGCGGTTTTTAGGCTTGACTGCTTGACCAAGGGATTTCTTTCTAGGATGGTTGTCTGGTAATCTCTTAGCCATCTCTACAGACTTGAGGCATGTTCTTTTTGTATAGGTGGTGTAGTGTTCAGTTCTGGTCTCTCATAGCGCAGCGCTTCTGTTGGTGTTGTTTTCAGCTGACCTGATACAAGTCGGAGGGCTTTGTTTTGTATTCTGTCCAGGGCCTTTGCACTAGTCTCACTCAGCCAAGGCTGCCACGCTGGGGCAGTATAATCCAACTTGCTTTTCACAAACATCTGATATACTTTCTTGAGGGACTCCTTATCCCAGCCCCATTTTGAGTAGCTGACAGCATCGATAACTTTCATTTTAGAGGTTGCACTTTTGGACACCTCCTCAATGTGCTTGTTGAAGGTTAGCTGTCTATCCAGGTAGACACCCAGCAGACGTGGAGTGGGGTTGAATGGTATCTTTTTCCCTTCGATCTGAATTATCCTTCATCCATGTTGAGAAGAAGCACACATCACTCTTGGTTGCATTCAAGGTAAGCTTCTATTCATTGCTCCATTTCACAACCATATCCACAATCAACTGTGTCGCTTCATTTGCCTTTTCTCTCTTTGCGTGACAGGCCAGTATTGTGCAGTCATCAGCGAACATTGAGTAGATCAGCTTGGCGGACGTTAGTTGTTGTGAGTCAGGGTTTGGGAGGGATTCTGCCAGGTTGTTTATGAAGAATATAAACAGCAGCGGTGAAAGTACAGCTCCTTGGGGAAGCCCTTGCTTGAAATTCTGGTTCTTGCTTATTTCTCCATTCAGGCGAACACGGGTTTGTCTATTTCTCAGGAAACCATGGATCCATCTGATTGCACGCAACGGAACTCCCTTGTCAGACATTGACAGTAAAAGTCTTTCACCCCAAACCGTATCATATGCCTTGGAGTAGTCCAGGAGGACTAGGACTGATCGATGGAATGTTGGCTTTTGTTGAAAACTATCCTCAATTTCTTGACAGATTCTGATGGTCTGGTCCGTGCAGCTATGACCTTGGTGAAAGCCTGCCTGAATATCTGCAATCCATTCATTCTTCTCTGACAGGTAGTAAATTCTTTCAGCGTGCATCCTTTCTATAACTTTCACGACACAGGATGTCAAACTAATGGGTCGAAAGGATGTCATATTCACTAAGTGACTTACCACCTTTCAAGAGAGGAATGATAAGTGCGTCACGCCAGTCTTGTGGGCACGCTGCTTGGTTAAGCGACAGATTACATATGCTGAGCAATTCTTTCAATGCGAGTGGGCCAAGCTCTTTTAGGAAAGATGGTGGTATATCATCAGGTCCTGGAGCACTTCTTCTCTTCATTTGTGTTATGGCACTCTCCAGCTCTTTGATAATGAAGTCTGGGTACGATTGTTGTTCATCTTCGCTGTTCACATCGTCATACAGTAGGCGCTTCAATCGGAGTTTTGAATAGTGCTGGGCAAAAAGCTCAGCTTTCTTCTTTGTTGATGTAATCCTTTTCCCATTGTGTTACAGTACTTCGTTGGGAGAGTTGGTATCTGGTGATCCATTTAGAGACTTGATGATGATGATGATGATGATGATGATGATGATGATGATGATGATGATGATGGCTGCTCCTGGATAATCCTTTGAGTTAGCAACCAAATTTTTAAGTACCATTTAAAAATGTATATCCTGACCGCAACTTACTCATGACATCCTACCCAAGTCTGAAAATGATATTCTCTTTCTCTTTCGTGTTTGTTTGTCTCTGTAACACCTTACATCTTCGGCACTTATAAGAACCTAATTGTGTTTCAAGAGCCGTGAACCCTAACAAAACAAATATGATGATGATGATGATGATGATGATGATGATGATGATGATGATGATGTT